ATGTGCACATTTTGGACCGAGAACACAGATGGTTTGAGAGGGGGGTGAAGGAGGCAATTTATGTAAAAAGAGAAAAGCTGTCTCTTAACAGAGGAGGAGGCCTCAGATTTCCACTTTCAAAAACCTATAATGCAACTTTAAAACAGATCCCCAGCCGGTTTTCACACCTGATGAGAACAGAGGGGCCTCATCTGTGAATTAGAGGAACAAAAGACTCTTACTGTTAAGGTGTTTAGGTGTGAATTGCCAATCTACATATGTGTGTGTGTGTGTGTGTCTTATCTCACTCAGCCTTATAACCTGAATCTCTCACTCTCTGCTCTTTGAATTGAGAAAGCTCCTCGGATGAGGAGCGAAACGTCTTCTGTTACAAATAAAGTCCAGTTGTTTTTGTATTGAACGCTTTTTGAATTCATCATGTCCTGGATGACTGAGAATCTTCACCAGCATTTTAACATAAGATGTTATAGAAAACTCTTCAAACATAACCAAAATGAGGATTCTTCATTGTTAATCAGGATGTGGTGAAATTTCAAACATTATAATTAAAAATAAAAGCATATTTTCTAAAGTTGTTACACAGACAATAAACTGACAATTTTACAACCTCTAAGCAGACATATTATGTGACCCCCGTTCTCTCTAGTGCCCCCCCTACCCCAATGGGGGTTGGGCCCCCCAGGTTGGGAAACACTGACTTGGAGTATGGTCATCGGAAAACAACATAAGCTTGGTTTTGTCTGCATTCATCCAGTGTGAAGATAAAACAAAGTAAAAAACAGGATCTCTGCTCAGGAGAGAAAATGTTTGTCTTGTAAAATAGTCCAAATCTAAATGATCTAAACATTTTTCAGTCTGTGCAAAAGCTATATTCCTTTCTTTTTTATGATGTCATTTGGTTTTCAAAGAGGTGATTGTGTTACACAGATTGTTGTTCATGTTGCAATATATTTCGTGAAGAAGCATGTAAGGACAAAACAAAGATCTCTTCTCCTCTCCCCTGCCCGGATCGTTTGCTCGGAAGGAACACGTTTATGTCAGAATTAAACAACATCTTTATTCTTACAGACTTAAAAATGTGTGAACAAGAGAGAATTGTTTTATATTACCTGAATTCAGAGGCCCTCTGTACAATTCTGAGATGCTCAAGTCTGTTCCCACATTTATAGACTGTTTTTTCCTCCACCCAGTGACATTTCCTGTTTTCAATTCCTGTCCAATAAACACCTTACAGACTCTCTGAAGTCCCTGTCTAATCAACGAGGCACACATTAGCTGTCCTCTCTTGCCACTGAATCCGTGACACATTACAATCACTAATCTTACATAATCTTACAAACACTGTGAGATTCTGATTATTCCCTTTGGCAACATGTTACATTATCGTCTTTAGATTGCTCCATTAATGACAAATGAATAAGTGTGCAGTGCTTTGCCTCACGGAAACGTGGATTACAAGCGAAACGCCGGACACAGTCTTCCAGCTGGATGACAGACTTTTTTTTCGAGCGGACCGCTGCAGCGAGCTAACGGGGAAATCACGGGGAGGCAGAGTGTGCATTTACGTGAGTAAAAGTTGGTCCACGAACTGTACTGTTGTAAATAGCTCATGCTCGAAGGCTTTGGAGCAAATAACAGTGAAATGTCAGCCACATTATCTACCCCGAGAGTTCACGGTGACTTTCATCTCTGTCGTCTACATTCCTCCGGACGCTAATGCTAATGAATCACTGCAGGAGCTTCATGATATCATCAGCTCGCTGCAGAACAAACACCCCGAGGCTCTTTACATTGTAGCCGGAGACTTTAACCACGTGAATCTAAAGGACTGTCTCCCAAACTTTAATCAACATGTGGCGATTCCAACACGTGGAGACCGCACGCTGGACCGTGTTTACACGAACGTAAAAGATGCATACAAAGCCGAACCCCGCCCCCACCTAGGACTGTCAGACCACATCTCAATCTTCCTGGCTCCTGCTTACATGCCCCCGCTGAGATGCTCCAGACCGGTACAAAAGAAAGTTAAATGTTGGAGCCAGGACAGTGGCCCCATACTGAGAGATTGTTTTGATCGAACAGACTGGCAGGTTTTCAGAGAAGCTGCTGAAAATGGAGGTTCGCTTGATCTTGACCAATACACATCCTCAGTTCTGGGTTACATTAGTACATGTACTGACACCGTCTCCACTGTCAGAAATGTTAAAAGCTACCCAAACAGAAAACCTTGGCTGAATGCAGAGGTGAGTACCCTGCTGGAAGCCAGGAACACTGCCTTGAGGTCTGGAAACTCAGAGGAGCTGAGTAGGACAAGAAAAGAGCTGGTTGCTGGTATTAAGAGGGCCAAGGCCACATATGCAAAGAGGATCGAGGGTCAATTCATCTCACAAGACCCTTGGAGCATGTGGAGGGGCATTAAGTGCATAACAGATTATAAAGGAAGGAGTGAACAATGCCCCAAAGACACATCTCTGCCTGATGCCCTCAACAAGTTCTATGCACGCTTTGAAGACCCGAACAGACCACCCAGCACCAGACTCACCTCGCCACCGGATGAAGAGCATCTCAGCGTGACCTCAGCAGAAGTAAGGAGTACCTTCAGGAGGATTAATCCGCACAAAGCAACTGGCCCAGACAACATCCCCGGAAAAGTGTTGAAGGAATTTGCTGATCAGCTCTGTGAGGTGCTGGCAGACATCTTTAACACCTCACTTACCCTGGAGACAGTTCCCACCTGCCTGAAGACTGCCACCATCATCCCAGTCCCAAAAAGCTCTACAGTGACTGGTCTGAATGACTATCGGCCAGTGGCCCTCACCCCGATAGTCGCTAAATGCTTTGAAAAACTGGTCATGACTCACATCAAAACAACCATCAACATCAACGAGGACCCTCATCAGTATGCATACCGTGAGAACCGATCAACAGAGGACGCCATCTCCTCTGTGGTCCACACTGCGCTCAACCACCTGGAGCAGAAAAACTCTTACGTCCGTATGCTCTTTGTGGACTTCACATCCGCCTTCAACACCATGATCCCCCAAACCCTGATGGACAAACTATCCACACTAGGACTAAGCCCCTCCATCTGCAACTGGGTACTAGACTTTTTAACAAACAGACCACAGTTAGTGAGGATCCACAACCTCTCCTCCTCCACCATAACCCTCAGCACTGGCTCTCCTCAGGGATGTGTGTTGAGCCCCCTCCTGTTTACTCTGCTCACATATAATTGTGCAGCTACCCATCCAGGCTGTCACATTGTAAAGTTTGCAGATGATACTGCGGTGGTGGGATGCATCACAAACAATGATGAGTCCAGCTACAGGCAAGAGGTGGAACACCTGGAGAGCTGGTGCAGAGAGAATAACCTTCAAATCAATGTGAAGAAGACAAAGGAGATGATTGTGGACTTCAGAAGGAACAAAAACACCTACACCCCCCTGAACATAAGAGGATCTGTGGTGGAAGTGGTCTCCAGCTACAAGTACTTGGGTGTACACATGAATGACAACCTCAGCTGGAGCAACAACACCACCAGCCTGATCAAGAAAGCTCATCAGAGACTCTACTTCCTCAGACGGCTGAGGCGAGCTGGTCTGGGAAGCTCAGTCCTCACCTCCTTCTACAGGTGTGCAGTGGAGAGCATCCTGTGCTCGAGCATCAATGTGTGGCATGGAGGCTGCACAGCTGCAGAAAGAAAAGCTTTGCAGAGAGTGGTGAAGGCTGCACAGAAATCTGTTGGAATCAGCCTCCCCACCATCACAGACATCTACACCTCCAGATGCAGGAAG